ACAATGCAGCTGAACCACTACCCCGCTGTATGTCATAGTTCTAGCGTGCATTTCAGAGGACAGGTCCGCGTGTAGAAGTTCAGTGTTTGGAAAAGATGACAAAATTACATAGCAATCATTTCCGCTGCTGTGAAATTAGATTAGAAAACAGAACTCTTTCCAGTTACTCGGTATGTGCTGGGACGGACGTTCGGCAATGAATATTAAATTATGTTTTATATGAAACGACCGACAATGGGAAGTGAAACACATGCAAATAGCTTCTAGTGTTTCAGAACGCACCCTCGATACAACCAGAGCACTCTAGCGGTACGTGGAGGCGACTGCCATGTTGATTCGCTATTGTTTCACATTTACGTCAGATCATGGCTGCTGCTCATCTTGCCCCGCCACAGACGACAAGATACAACAATACGATTATAAGAGAGATATGACACGTGAATGTCATGATCAAGATGGCTGTAGTTCTCGGCCTTCGGAATATGGCGTCCCTATGTAATGTTGTTCTTTTGCCGGCTTTCTTTTTGTATGCGGAAGATCTATTAAAAGAAGAGAAGAAGAACGAGAAAAATACATAAAAGAGCAAGAGAGGAAGTCATAAAAGAGGAAGGATAATAATATATATATAAAAGATGGTTACAGAAGCAATAGAGGAAGGTATTGACGTAAGAGAGTAAAAGGGGGATGTAAAATGATAATAAACTGTAAAAAGAGATGTTAAAGACGAAACAGAGGAAGTAAAAAGGAGAAGAATCTAAAGTAATATAGTACACACATAGAAAGAAAAATAAGGTGGCTAATGAGAAAATAGCTGGTCACGGTAGCCGAGCGGTCTAAGGCATGTACTGTCTTCGCTCGCTTGGAAACCGGGATCGTGGGTTCGAATCCCACTCAGGGCATGGATGTTTAGTTTGTGTGTGCGCGTTTTTCTGTGTCTGTGTACAGGTAGAGGCCTTGCGACGAGCTGATCACCCGCCCAAGGAGTCTTACCGAATATGTAAGATCTAGAAAAACGAAGTGAACGGAGAAGTTCATGGAGGTAGGCCTAGGTCACTGGGGCTGTAGTGCCAAGGGGGAAAAAGAGAGAAAATAATGTAAGTTACAAGACTTTACTCTTGATATGCTTCTGGAATGTGACGCAGTACATTTTCGGGGTAGATATTTGCCAAATTATAGGGCGCCACATCGCAAATGACAATAATATTCGCAGTCATTGCCGTGTGAACTTCAAATTTCAAGTTACTGATGGTCATTTAAGAGTACCGAGCAGGATCTCACTCAGGATTCTTTTACTGCAGCAAGTTTAGGCTTCGGGGTGATTGCAATTAAGATCCTTAGGCCTGATACTCAACTGCATCGCGGCAGTTGTGCGGAACTGGGGCCACGCTGACCACACCACATGCGAGAACAAGGTGTAGAATGGAGGATAATATTAAAATGTACCAGAAAGAGACGTTTGTTTATGGACAAGGAGGCAATGATTGTAATCATGTTTACGGCTATAAAACTTTTCTGAAAATGGCCCAGTTTTGAAGGACTATCTTTATCTTGAAATAAATTGAATTGTTCCTATAAAATTGGGTTGTAGTGAGTAGGACGCCCGTTCTAACCTCCCCCTACTTCAGTGCCGACACCTTCATGATCGAGGGTGCATTGAGCGAGCCACGGCGGTGTAATTATTACATCGTTTCTTTCGTGTTCTGTCAGCTGTCAGTAGCTAGGCTGTACAGTGTCGATTGACAAGGTGACAGATTAATGATGAATTGGAAATGGTATTGAAAAGGTCCTTTCGTTGCCTAGTCGAAATATTGTGACATGTAGAGCAATTGCTAGGCAACGGTTCGTTAAACATGTTCCCGCAGAAGCGAACCGTGGAACAGTAGAACGTCCATTTGTAGGCAGACGAGCGGTAAACACGCCTACAAATTGTTGAGAGGCGGTGTTTTCCGTAGGATCCGCCCCGAGGCTATACAACGCGGAATTCCAAGTGAGAAGTCAGTCGTAGAACAAGAATGAGAATTGGGCGAGCCCTCAGCAGGCAAGGAACAATGGTTCGGCTGAAGATTGATTGTGAGTTACTGTAATTGATTGTGATTACGAGTGATTGTACAAGACGTCTATAAATACAATCACCCAACCCAGAACCCGATATCTTTCGTCACGGAGCTACAAACGGGTGACAGTATTATTCCAGCATTTGCCTGATGGGAGTATGAAACAACCCCCGAAAACCTGAACAAGTATGTGTAATGTCGTGGTCGAGGTTCGAACCCAGAACCTTCGGAATATAAACCTAGAGCACTAGCGGCTAGGCCAGCCTGCTGGGTCATTAAGTTACTTTAACTTTAATTTTTTTTAGCTTGGGCTATCAGCTTTGTAAAGTACACTAATTTATTTGTTTATATCGTGTTTAACTACGCAGTAAGTCGGTCAGTAACACTCAGACAAGCGAAATAACGTTAAATGGTGGGCCGATTGGTTAATAATCAACTGGAAAGTGTACGGAAGAAGTGATTGTTGTCTAACCTCGGTAGGTGTAGTGGCCCGACATTTCCCTGGAGTTACTGAGGAGTACTACGAAAAGAACCCCTCAGGCTAATCCACTTCAGTGCCGCAGTTTGATCCGCAAACGAACTATACCGACCGAGCAACCGCCGCTTGCCGGCGAAGTTAGTGCCAACTTTAGCGGATATAGAGTGTCACGTCGTCAGCGCAACGGATCCCCACGGCCGTTAATTTCAGTTTTCTAGACCGGAGCCGCGATTTTTCCTTGAAATAGCTCCTCAGTTACCCTCACGAGGCTGAGTGGACCCCGTTCCAGACCCACTACTTCTCAGAGAATCTGGTAGCGCCGGAAATCGAATCCGGGACCTCTGGCTCTTTAGCCAGGAACTCTGACCAGTAGACCACAGAGGCGAGCAATTTGATCCCATGATTTCCCAAATACGAAGCAAGTGCACTGCTCACTCAACCTTGGACTTTGTCATTCGTTTATTGACAATCATCCTTTTGAATGCTGATCCCTGCCATAGAACTACCTGGTAGAAACGCTAATGCTGCTTTGGGCTAAATGCCGTTGCACACAAAAACCCACAATACTCCCGTGGATTACCCTCAAAGGACCACAGATGTAGAAAGCGAGAAAGCACGTTTCCCCTTCTAAGTATCAATATATAACACTTGATACCATCTATTGAGAGAAACTCTGTACTAAGTGATTAACATCGACCCGATCTCTTCGGCTGTGTTGGTTTAACGTAAGTACACCGAGCCGATCTAATAGGCCCGTGGCATGCAAAGGATTAAACAGTTGAATCGACTTTCACCCCACCAATCATATTGTACTGCTGATCTCTTGTTAAAAGTCGAGTTGTAACTATACTCTGTTCGAAATGTGTGTGGATTGCTTGTAAAGTGAACATGGCCAACAGAAGATAGCGTGTTTGCTTATTGGCTTACAGACCGGGGAAGTACTCTTCCGACTGTAAACACGATGCCACTCTTCATTGCAACAGTAATACGTTCGGACACAGTGGGCATTGCGGAATAGTTTGTGCTTATTGAACTACGCCTCTAACATGCGTTGTTGTATTGTATCTGAAGCTTATTTAAGGACGTACATTAATCATATAGTGACGTAGATAGTTACGTCATCATTAGGAAGTTAAATAAGATTCTGTTCTGAACGTACGGTGGTAACCTTCGCCAGACCAGAGACCTCGATGCGTACAAGGTATAACGTGCCGTGAGAGAAATTCCAGAAAGGGTGTTCCAACCTCTCTTTTGTTTACGTGTACTCCAAAGATATTCCGAATAGAGTATATGCCCTTTTAAGTGATATGAGGACGTAAATCTGCCTTAGTAATCTCCATTATGAATTCCATTATTTCTTGAAATGCGATAACGTTTCATAGGCGTTAATCATTGCAGATAAAAGTAAAGGTATCCCTGTAACAGGCCGTGAAGGCCCATAGGGTTGTGAGACGTCGAGGCTCCCACGTTTTTCTAGTCAGTCGGCTTACAGATGCCGGTGAGGTTAGCCTTACGCGCCGGCCGCCCATTACCCCCAGGAATATTCCTGGTACCCATTTCTGTTAAGAGGCTGAGTCGGGGCCATAGTGCGGCTGGATGGTTTGAGTCAATTGAAAAATACAATGACCTCATCCCGTATCGAACCCGCGACCTTCCTGCTTGTAGCATGGTGTCTTAACTAATTACGCTACCGCGTGAAGATAACATTTAAAATTGGAGGATTTTGCTGTAGAAGTAAAGAGAGAGGGGGAGAGTTATGTTAATCGCATGACGTTCTTCAGCTGCCCCAGCGTTCTCGAGATCATTTTGCATGTAAATTATCATTTCCACGCCTCTTGTGATGAATTCCTTTTGTACCAAACGAGACAATCCTTTTGCTTCCTTACCGATGCTTTTCCTATTCACCCAGCTGGAAATCCCACAATAAAGATCGCGTCACCTTGGAATTTCGGTTTTAATTGTGCTTGCTGTAATGAATAATCAGAAGGCGTCACGCATAAACCAGTACGTTTTCTGTTGGTGCTTACGTAGCGTCGTTTGGTTAGGAGGAAATAGTTCTAAGCGTCAATCTCCTATCTCTGTTGTTGAGAAAATTATGTTGTTATTAAAACATCTGCTACTTCATTCGTAAGTTTTTTAGCCCTCTGATTCTATGTAGACTTCGCAGCACATTTCATGGTTCAGGGTCTTCGTTCAGCATTTGGGCTGGTCAAAAAAATTGTGCCCATTAATTAGCCTTGATCATTCGTTACTATGGTTACCGAAGAGAACTCTTGCTTGTTCAACGATATCTCCTCTGTGGCGGTTTTGGTTCCCATCCTATCTTGCATATAGAATGTGATGACGTAACCATATACGTCACCATCCGATGATGAACCCTCTAGACGTAGTACGTGGCTAGGGACGTAATGGATACCACTGTGCTAGACGAATGGTTACATATGCTTAATTATGTTCTTTTGTTCCAGACTGCCTGCATCTACAACTCTACAGGGATAGCAAGGACCGCTACAAACAGGGACAAACTAAAGCATCCCTATCTCTTCAGCACTTCCTGGGAGCGGAGTCCGGTAAGTGGGAAATCAGCAGGACTGTTGGAAAATAGTCAAATATGTGTAAAATTTCACGGTTCACTTATTTAATTTAATACTAGCCATCCACATGCATAAATGGGCGTGCCTATATCCACCGACCGTCGCCCTCTAGTGGTAGCATTCTCGAGGAGGGGCTCTCTGAGACGTTCAGCATAGGATGTCATACTTTATTCGAACTTAACATTACAACTTAAAAGGAAGATGTTCATTGAAGAGCATTAAATCTGAAATATCATATTTTTCTCGTATCTTACATTACAAAACTTCAAGGTACGTAACCATGTTCAAGTCGTTCCATCCAAGGAACAAAGTCTTGAGATACACCCCCAGGGTATAAGTAAAAAAAGATTTAGGGCTCGAAATTACGACGCTAACTCTACCAACTGACGCTCACGTTTACCACTCACAAAGCCCTAATTAGAAATTGCCGCGCGCCATCTGTTATCATAATCTGCGGTCAGCCAGGTCGTGTCACCATCGACGTTTCCGCAGACTCTTTACAACTGGCGTGAGATACGTTAAAGGTAAAAGGTAACTAATTAAGCACTGCGCCATGAAGGCGTATGGGGGAGTGGATGTATAGATCCACATTTTCTTGACCTCGGCACTAGTTGGAGGAGAATGGTCAGCGTTACGCCTCGGCCGCTTTACCCCTGGGAAATAGCCCCCGGTACCTGTTGACTAGGAGGCTGGGTACAATTATCATCCACTTATAACGTCCATATAGACGCGTCTTCTTCACTCTTATAATTACTTGCACCGCTGATGTGGGCGAAGCGTCTTGAGCCCTTTGCCGGATGCGAACTCATTTCTGCTCTAGTCGGAGCTACACAAAGAACTGACTGGTCTCTTCGGAGCTGGACTCTTATAACGTATATTACGTATATCTTATATTACCATAAAGAAAAACACACAAACTTTAATTGATGCAAGTAAGGAGGTTGGTCTAGAAGTAAACACAGACAAAAGTAAGTATATGTTGTTGTCTCGTCACCAAAATGCAGGGCAAAATCTTGACATAAAGAGAGGAAACAGACGTTTTGAAAATGTGGCACAGTTCAGATATTTGAGAACAACGATAACAGATCGAAACCTGATACAGGAGGAAATTAAGAGGAGGCTGAACTCGGGTAATGCCTGCTACCATTCAGTCAGGAACCTTCTATCTTCTCGTCTGCTGCCTGAAAACCATAAAAATTATAATATACAAAACTATAATTTTGCCTGTGGATCTGTATGGGTGTGAAACTTGGTCTCTGACATTAAGGAAGGAACATAGACTGAGGGTGTTGAGGAGAATATTTGGATTGAAGAGAGAGCTGAACTGACAGGAGGTTGGAGAAAACTGCATAATGAGGAGCTTCATAACTTGTACTCTTCTCCAAGTATAATTAGAATGATCAAGTCAAGGAGGATGAGGTGGGAAGGTCATGTAGCACGAATGGGGGAGATGGGGAATGCGTATAGGATATTTGTGGGAAAGCCAGAAGGAAAGAGTCCACAGGGAAGACCAAGGCATCGATGGATGGACAATATTATAATGGATCGTAGAGAGATAGGATGGGATGGTATGGATTGGCTAGATCTGGCTCAGGATAGGGCCCGGTGGAAGGCTCTTGTGAACACGGTAATGAACCTTCAGGTTCCATAAAAAATGCTGGGAAATTCTTGAGTAGCTGCAGAATTGGCGGCTCCTCCAGAAGGGCTCAGCTCCATGAGTAAGAAAGTAATATACATATAAATAGAGAGAGAGAGAGAGAAGGACAACGCACAGGTTTCATAGATCAAGTGCAGCTTGATGTTAAAATACCGATTTTTATTTCGGAATGTGCCACACTTTATACAAAGGCAGGTCAGAAAGTATCTGCAAAATGTCCAATTATTCTTTTATTGATGCTAGTGATGAGTGTGCAGGCCCTCGTGAGCGCGAAATCTCCCTAGTGTTGCAGTGACTTATTTGACTTTCACCATTCACTTGTCTTTCACTGCTAGTGGCGTCACTATGGCCGTTCATAACATAGCCAACAGTCATTAGTCTGTGATTCACTGGTAACTGCAGTGAGCGTCTTACCCACCCCTAATGCAGAGGAATTAACTAATCTTTGAGTGTGAGGTTTGGGATTCCCACAGGAGTATCTATGAAGATTGCTGCATCGTGGGATGTGAGGCCGTGTAGTTTGGTAGATCATTACCAACGTTTCAGAAGAATGTGCTGCCTCCATCTTCACAGTAGAAGATTGATCCAAATGCTGTCTGTCCTGGCTTTTCCCACTGTCCTTTTGCTTCTCCAAGTACTGCAGTCCTGTCCCCCTTCCCTCACTTCTTATATTTGTACTACATTTTCTCTATGCTTGGCTCACTCTTCTGCCTTGAAGATGCAGGCTGTAGGTTCCTGTTTACCAGAATACACAGTAACATATCCCAGAGTTAGCCACCGTATGTGTGATATAGTGAGAACATGTTGGAACTGCAAAGACAACTGCCAGATGCTTGAAACTATCATTTTCTGATAGATCCAGCCCAATAAGTACCCCTCCCCCCATTGCCACCTGAGGACAGAAACAGGTCAGTTTCCAAAACACTGTTCTATTTGGAATACTTGTTCCCATGCTGTGTACAAGATATCCCTCATAGAAGCACTGCCATTCTGTTGTGTATTATGAAGCTCTGAGACCTAGTAGCACATATGAAAATAGTCCAGTTATAAGAAGAAATTACAGCAGATCCTCATTCCTGTTTAAGAGGCATATGAGATTATTTCAGTTTCAATCACACATGAACATTTTTATTCCAATAAAATTATAACACTTAATATAATAACATATGTGCAGTTTTAACATCATTACAACTGACTAGGATGGTCTATTGCTGACAGATGGTAACAGAGGAAAACATTATTGTGAATGTGAATATGGTATATTTTGTGCTTCTTGTATTTGTGAAAATGACGAAGGAAAATTGCTTAAGAAATTTATTTCTGTTCCCGTAAGAAACTGCTATCAGTTGGAAATGTTACTCTTTATTTACAGGCTTCACACTTGACAAGGAATCGAACACAATCGCCATTATCTGCCAGGATGTGACTGTAATTCTTGCATTTGATACCAGGGAGAGGCTGATCCAATGGCAGGTCAAGATCTCCAACAACCTAGGAGAAGGTAAGTTGAATTATTCAGTCTGGTTCCTGAAAATTTAGATGGCCCAAAATGGCCACTGTTTGCCTTGACATTTTCAGACCTGAAATACAATGCACACATAAATAACCATTAAGAATTCCCATGTTACTGCCTCCAGATGTAGATGGTATCTGTAAACATATAGAGTGAGCTGTTGTGAAGACCCAACAAATGACGGTCTCATAGATTAGGGACTGAACACACGGTTTCAGCTAAGTAACTACTTACATACAACAGAAGCTTTTTGAAAAGCTAATGTTGGAGAAATAGGTTATAGAGCAGTGAACTTCTTTCAGCTTACTCAGGATTATGCCCATTGTTGAACTGTGTCATTCTATTATCAGAGCTTCAGTTACTGGTAGTTAAGTAGTAGGTTAGTCAGTTACTCAATAAGTCACTTCGTCAGTCAGTTACCTCGTCAGACTCTCATTTCAAAATGTGATTGGTATGTAGTTTCTTCTTCTAGGGTGGGATGCTGAAATTTTTAAAACCAAGCAGAAAATATTTCTTAATGTAGTTTAAATTTACCCAGCCATGAAGAAATATATTAGAGAAATGCAGCTGTTGTGAATTTCAGAAATCAGCACAGTCTTAAATGGACCTTTTAAAAGAAAAATTTAAGTTCTGAAAAAGTGCTGCTTTATGAATCCCAGCAACTATATGCAGTATGTCAAGATAACAACTTCTGCTGTCACTCAGATGCAAAGGGAACTGATCATAGGCGATCTAACCCAACAGATCAGCAGTTCCTGATACAGATCACATCAGCTCCACCCAAAGCGAAGATAGCCACTGGTCCAGCCCGATTACATGTACAGGATCAGCGGTTTTGCGTTACTAGTGGAGTTCCACCCCGGCTGATCAACTTCTGGGAGATAGGGCTGTTAAGGTGAGTTTCTGTGACATGTAGAAATTTCCCCATGGAACTCTGGAATACATGGAACATTTTTATATCTAAAACATTTTTAAGGGTGCATTATAGTGTTACATTGCTGTTAGAATGTAACTAGATTCTATTTTCAACATTCTATGAGAACCAAAATCACCATACCAGAGAGCTGACTAAACCCACAGACTCTCCTTCCGTGGGATTGTTTCTCAGTATATGATGTATCCTCAAAGATGTTCTAGACAAAGAATACTTTTGTAAAGTATCAGTAATGGAAGAAAAATGTAATTGAGTATAGGGTGCTTAATATTACAAAACTCTGAATGTTCTGAGAACTTTTTGTACTTCCCGTAATATTTTATGGTTTATTTTATGATCATGTCAGTACCTAGACTATATCACATTCAAGGGCAGGATGAGTGATGATTGATAATGTAGAAAGGATTTTGAAATTGCTATGACCATTCAAGGTATTCTCCTGCCATATTTCTGGAGGGACTGATGGAAAACCTGGAAAAACCCCAGTCAGGATTGCCAGTGTCCCAGCCAAGATTTGAACCAAGCACCTCCCAAATATTGAGTCTAGAGCATTACTATTGCACATTCACACTCAGCTGGTTTCTCTTACTGGCTAGCTTCTTTGGCTTCATTGACATTCATACACTGGTATTCTGTTATTTAATTTTATGTACATAGAATACCTGAAGCAAGTTAATTCTAACACTTGAGATTGAATCCTACAAACTTGTTAATGAAACTTCGTATATAGGCTGCAACCATTTATTTGGGAAGTGTACTATATCCATTTTCATTCCAGCACAGCTATCAAAGTATATCATTGAGTTTAGGTTGGCTGTTACTTTTCTTGAAACTGTTAGGAATATCATGCCATTGGAAATCAACTCTCAGTACTCTCTGACTGGAAGTATTCAAGCAAGTTGTAGCTTCACCCCACTTTACCTCCCTTTACGATTCCATCTGAACTAGTTCTAGTAGTTCAAAGTTCTGTTTCTACACACTTTGCCAAATCCACCTTAAGGATACAGTGAACCAGTACTTTGTTAAATTTTTGTTATCTGAATCATAAATGGGCACATGTAATGTAGTTGGTTGAGGCGCTGTGCTACAAACCGGAAGGTGGCGGGTTTAATTCCATATGAGGTCACTGGATTTTTCAGTTGACTTAATCCTTCCAGCTGCATTATGGCTATGGGTTCAACTCAACCTCTAACAGGAGTGAGTACTAGGAATCTTAATGGGGGTAAAGGGCAGCCAACATATAAGACTGACAACCTCGCTACCATCTATGAGCCAAATGTCTAGAAATTGTGGAAACCGCTACATCTCACAATCCTACAGGCCTTCACAGCTTATCACAGGGATAGTTTTACCTTTTAACCTTAACTTTTAACAAAATAAAAATACGGAAGCCATGCAAACTGCAGTTGGGGCAGTACTAGCATCACAGACAGGATGAAGAGAAAGAGAAAGCATGTATAGTAAGTCACTTACGTGTACAAGTTACATAAATCCGTGAATACACAGATATACTGGTGCCTTTTTTTTTTTTTTTTTAAGAGTGCAGGTAGTTCAAATACTGCTGTCCATAGTACCTGAGGTACAGGATATATATATTAATATTGTATGTTATGATACATTATTATTGTACATACCTTTTTCAGCTTTAATTAGCTATTGAAATGAAGATATATTTAAAAAATAATGCTGTATTTAAAGACTGTTGGACTTAGACAGTTTTAAACTTACACAGAAATCTGTGGAATGAATTAACCTTGTAAGCTGGGTGCATACTGTGCTGGATAGATGACCGAGGCCAGTATAGATAGTCACCTATTCATGAAAGCACGAGTAATTAGTACATCAGAGCATCCTGAAATGCAGTCCTGGATGCATTCCTGTCAGTAAGGTATCAGTTGCAGCCAGGATATAACAGTTCATTGCTTCACAATTGAAATATTGACATTTTCATCTGTTCCAGGCGGTATGGGGTGGTGGAGGGACGGTTCTGTTTCGAGGGTGGATCACGCTGTGGTAAGGGGGAAGGCCTTCATGTCTGTGTGACAGATCAAGGGGAGGAAATCACTCAGACCTTCCAGCTGGCAGCCCAGGGGAAACTTGCCACTCGACGGAGGCCTGTATCCAGAAAGATGTCATCTATGGACAGCCCTCGCAAACAGATGCATTCCAGAGCCGAAACCAGACACTCGGATCTGACTTGCACTGAGTCCTTCCAGCAGCAGGTGCTGCCCTCTGCTGACACAACACGCAGTCTGCTCTGTGATGCAGAGCCTTGCTGTTCATGCTGTGCCACTGAGAGTGCCCATGATGCTTCCCGACATCCAAGCTCTGAGGATCTCCTGTGTCCTTGCAGGTGAGCTGGCATGGAATGCAACAAACTGTCCATTAGACGCTCTAGTTGGGTGACTACACAGCACAAGGATTGACCCATCCTTTTTCACACTTGTTTTCTGTAGCTCTGAATGCACTTGCTCTTTTTGCGCTTTTGAAATGCAGAATTTATGTAAATTATTTAAGAATTTAGTTTCTACCCCATAGTAAACCTCCATCTAGTGCTGAGGTCAAGAATGGTGGAAATATATCTCAACTCCTTCACATGCCTTCATGGCACATTGCTTGATTACATAGTTAAGTACAGGGACAACTTTACCTCACAGCAAACAAGACTTCTTCTCCATTTCAAAGACCAGGTATTTAATGTTGTGTAGGGAAAATATGACTGCTTATTGAGAGACTTGTACAATGTCCATAAATAGGCTCTGTAGCCCAAATTCAGAGAATTTTAATGCTAATGCAGGTGGTTGCAGTTTCTGCTGTGCTTAAAAGGTGAACATTGAAGACCATGAAAATATTTTTTCTTTCATTTCATGTGTGTCTGTCCATCTGTGTCTACATTGATGATTATTTGTTAATTTTCAAATTCAGTCAGTATTTGTGTGGGGCACGCGGTAGCGTAGTTGATTGAGGGGCTATACTACAAGCCGGAAGGTCACGGGTTCAAGTCCCATTGAGGTCATTGGATATTTTTCAATTGGCCTAATGCTTCCAGCCGCACTATGGCCCTGGGGTCGACTCAGCCTCTAACAGAAATGAGCACCAGGAATTAATTAAATAATTTTCCTGGGGAGTAAATTGCGGCCAGCGCATAAGGCTGACAACCTTACCGCCATCTTTGAGCTGATTGTCTAGATAATGTGGGACCCTCAACGTCTCTCAACCCTATGGGCCTTCACGGCCTGGTTACCAGGGATATATTTACTTTTTACTTTTACTTTTAATCAGTTTTTGTGCTGTCATCTTGTTTATTGTGTCTATTAATTGAGCAGCCCATGAGATAGGAAGCAAAAGTGATATAAGTGCATGTCTGGCTGTGATAGTGAAGATAAAATTCCCTGCCCCTGCTGAGAATTTAACCCTGATTTATGGGTTATGTGTCCCATAGCCCAGTAATTATTTTGACTCCTGTATAATGGCTGCATTATCTCTTTCCTGAACACACTTATTTGTGTACCATTATTACCTTCAATAATAAAACTATTAGAATTGTTGCCATGAGATCTGAATAAACACCCAGTTATCATTAAAACTGTGAGTAATTAAGTGTCTGTACAGCACCATTATGGTGTAGTTATGCATCATCAGAATAAAACAATAATTCAATCAGTTTTATTGTTTGATCCATTGTGTACTAATGTTTTTTTAAGGGGTAAAGCTGAAATTGAAAAAGTACACAATGTTTTAATTAACTAGTAATTAGTAAATCTACTTTTTGTAACACCAGGGTTCATCGAGGTAGCAGCTCTCCATTCTGGTCTTCAGCTGAATCTGCAGCAGGGCGCCACCATGCAGATCTTGATAGCAATTATGGCTGTGGTGATACAGCGTCTGTTACGGAAATCCCAGAACACTTTCACCATCAGGTAGGGTTGATGTAATAGTCACCTGAATGTCAGAATATTGACATTGTTCTTACTGTTTATTCCTTGGTGATCTTATAAATCAAAATTATATCCATTACACTGTATCTCGATGTTGTATGACATTTCATATTGTATTTGCTACAATTTCCATTTGCCTTCTTTTTCTCAAATACAGGGTGATTCATATAGAACCAGCCTGACGAAATGAGGTGTAATATAAAATATACCATACAGATATTAAAGTAATTTACAGATATCTTATCCTGGATTGTGTGCCGTGATCAGAGCAGGTGTTGAAAGTGTCTGCTGTTTTCAAGTAGGCATTAGAAACACTTGCTGTTAAACAGTGCACTCCATGACTCTCGCCTGCCCACTGCAGACACGTTTCGGGATTGTCCTTGACCTTGCAGCATAAGGGCTGCCACTTGCTGGATCATGCGCACACCATTCGACTCAGCACAGCCCACGGATTATTATGTCGTAATTGTGAGCGGTTATATGCTTCACCTGCAGAGTTATTAGCAAATTCATCAGGCTGGTTCTATACGATTCACCCTGTAGTATAATCTGCATTCTAGAAATAATTTCTTAAGCCTCAAAGCCTATGCTGGCAGTAGTGTGGTGGCTACTGTTAGACTATTTCTTGTCAGTCAGGTAGAAAGGCATGTGCCAGACTAAGAAGAATAACGTGATTCTCCTATTGGGAGGGGGATAGGCTGGTAACTTCTCCATTTAAAGCAGTTCAGTGCTCACTATACCTCACAGACCTTGGAAGAGACTGAATTAGTGTTTGAAATCAAAACGAGCTTGATTGTTTATGGCATGAAGTGAAACAGGAGGAGGAGGGAGGAGAAGGAGCAGGAGGAGGGGGAGGAGAGAAAATAAGTAATTTATACTTTCTCATGCCATCATTCTGTGTCACAGCATCTGTCTTGTAATATGTTCCATGCCATACAAGTGGTTTTAACAGTTTCCTTGCCTGTGTGCATGCCACTGCCTAGATTTTTTTTGCATCTGATTATTTTTGTACCATCTTCTATTCTATATCATATCACCAGCTTTAAATGTCTTATTCTTTTTTTGGTTTCCTTGATATTATTACACTCTTCATTCACACTAAGATCTCCTATATTTTCCAAATATATTTCTGTCTTAAATGCAGCTTATTATGTAGTCACTCTTCTGCCTGACTACATGTTTTGGCTGTCTACAGCCATTATCAGGTGTCGTCTGTTTTGCTAAAATTATTGAACTGTGTATCAAATATATATATTGTGTGCGAACATGATATTTCCTAATTAAAATGAACTAAACTGGGAATTAAAATTAATTAGCATCGTAATATTATTTCCATTTCAGAAGAAAGAAAGGTAACTAGAAAATAATTACATTTAAGACGGAAATATATGGGTACAAAAGATAAATAATGCAACAAGATGCTTAAATACAATATTAAGATGTCCTATAGTTTTGGAATCACTCTGGAAAGAAGAACATTATCTCCTAAGGTGTATAGTACGGTAGAAATTTACTGGCTCGGAGATGTGAACTGACTCCATCTTAAGGCTCAAAAAGTAAGCCATGCAAGTGGGCACTGCCATCATAACCTCAGATCCAACAAGGCGACATATTCTTCATGGACACTGCCTGAGTCCAGCTTCTAGGCACATTCACAAACTTACAGATTAACTGTTAAAACTGTTTCATTGGCCCATCTGTCTGCACTGATTGAACAGTTCAAGAACCAGTAGATGGATACTCATTATATTTGATAGAGAGGAGATTCACTAAAATTCTTCACCGACTTCCAGGCTGACATCCTCACCACCATCTGTGAGCCAGTTGTCAAGAAAATGTGAGAGCCTTGGCATCTCACAATCCTATGGGCCTCCATGGTCTGCTACAGAGACAACTTTTGTTTATTGCTAGTGGGGTGGGACTAAGTCCCTTGTACTGCGGCCACTTCTGACCTATTGTACCAGCCCCAGATGATAGGTGAGGGTGATTGTGGAGCAATTGGTGGAATGAAGATTGGCAGGAGAAACCGAAGTACTCGGAGACAACCTGTCCCAGTGCCACTTTGTCCACCACAAATCCCACTTGACCAGACCCGCTATCAAACCCGGGCTGTCATGGTGGGAAGCCAGTGACTAACCGCTATGGCGCGGCCAACAGAGGCAGCTTTACTTTTACCTTTGTTGTTATACTCCCGTAACCGTTTTCACACTAACGAACTGTGTTGCAGGACTCTGGGTGGTCCCTGGTGGCACCAGATATAGACCGCCGCACGGTACCATCAAGCTTAGAGCGCTGTGCTAGCTGCATCAGCAAGCTGGGGGCACCATCCATGTCCAGGTCGTCCACTGTTACCAATACCAATACCCCTACAGGAGCCCCTTTCAGCCCTGCCTGGACAATGGACAGCATGAGTAATGTACCAGCACCACCTATGCCCTGCCAGCACCATTATCATATCCACCACCCGCACTGCCACCATCCACGCGCCAACACCAGTTGTGACCGCATGTCCTTATCATCACACGGCAGCGGAGGGAGCAGTGGAAATTCGGAGTATTCCGTCCCACGGTTCATCACCTCAACACCTGCACCTACTGGAGGAAGTGAGTCCTGCTGGTATGATCGTCCACGTACCATAACCACAACACCGCCACCTTCACATCCACCCATACCTCCCAAAAGCCCAAAAACCCCGCCAGTTCCACAATCTAATCTTCAGCCAAATCCTCCGAGTAGTATGCCTCCACATCCTTCACTGGGGAGTCTGCCAGAGGTGTGCAGATGTCAATACTGTCCCCCATCAAGGCCCCCTAAGCCAGTCCAGATGTCTGTAGGCAGTAACACATCAGACTCACCAAGCAAGAAGAAAATCAAGAAACCTCCAATGCCACTGCCAACACTTGATCCACCACAGCAGCATCTTGCCCCTGTGTGTACTTGCCATCACCCTCAGCATCAGCAGAGGGTGGATACCAACCCTTATGAGAACTATGATGTTCCCAAGTCATTACTTGGACACTCATTCTTGAAGGTTAGTTCAGTTTTGTCAGTAATCCATTTTGCTTCATGCATCCTGTACAAGTAGGCTCATATGTGTTGCAAATATGTGTGCACGATAATACAAGATGGTACATGTTGTCTACATTAGTATTTAATGATCCTTATTTTGAAAACAAAACTTCTTGTGAAGAAATGCTCACAACATGAAATGTTAATCTTGTTCAAGGTGAAAACTATTTGGCAACATCTCTTTGCTGAACATTTTCAGGAGTGTACTTTGCAGTATTTTCTGACGTGTGGTCACTAATTATCTGAAACGTTTTATGAATTTTATAATATATTCCTCTGAAGGTATTTGGAGAACAGACAACAAAACATGTTGGCTGAGAAGTAGGTAAACTAAAGTTTAGTTTGTCACAAATATAGTTGTGCTGTATGAGATTGGAAATGTAGATACCAGTTACACTATACAAATAATGAAAAAAAAAATCTATTATAATTTATATATACTGAATTTCAGTTTGAAATTGAAGATTCTGTATCACCCACCATTTTGAAGGTGAAAGGTCTAAATGCACACACAGAGCAGTCTATAAGATAGCTGTCAGACATTATATGGCAGATTTTTTTACCAGTTAGCAAATCAGGACAAGACAGCATAATCTACTGACCGTTAGTTGAGTGACAGTTGGTGTTATATTAACCAGCATCTGAGTCCTTAAAATTCTCCAGTCTGAATATTTGTGAGATGTTACAGATTTTCATATTTTTCAAAGAGATTAGAAATATAGTTTTCCAAAGAAAATTATGGGTAATAGAATGTTGTTGGTAACATTTTGATAATCTGTTCATAAAAGTACACTGAAGTCACCGACCATTACAGTAACCAGAAAAAACAATATTATACAGTGTTATCATCAGTACAGGCATGTAGTAGTCCAGTTGGCTGAGGTACTATGCTATGAGCTGGAAAGCTGCGGGTTCAATTCCCAATGAGGTCATTGGATTTTTCAATTGACTTAATCCTTCCAGCCACATCATGGCTCTGGGTTGGACTCAATCTCTAACAGAAATGAGTACCAGGAATCTTTCTCGGGGGTAAAGGGTGGCTGGCATGTAAAGCTGACAACCTCACTGCCATCTGTGAGCCAATTGTTTAGAAAATGTGGGAGCCTTGACATCAAACAACCCTATGGGCCTCCATGGCCTGTTATCTTTACCATTACAGCAGTACAGAAAGTAAAGAGCCCACTTTTGAAACAGAATGGAACGTAGGGTTGTGCTGTAGCTCAGACACTGGCTTGGTCATCAGTAGTGTCTTGGGTTGTCCTGGGTGACTTCTTGCAGAATTCATCATGTTCAAAGAAGCATATGAGCACATTTTGCTCCAAGATTCTTAAGTTTTCCCTGCTAATCATAATTCCATTGCTGCATACTGATGTGCCAAAATACCCTGATGTGTACAGTAGCCTCAACCAGGCAGTACATTATCACATTTTTGGTCCTCAATTAATGAGGCTTCATTTCTTAAGAGGCACTTGATCACAGAATAAAGAAGTTAAGTTGGGTGTAAATAATGCATTTAGGAGACATGTGAAGTAAATGTATGTTTCCAGGATCCCAAAGATGATGCAAAGCTCAAAGATCTACACAGTAGGATGTCAGTGACTACAGTCGAATATTATGACACACCAAAGAATGTGAAGGAGTGCCTGGCAGCATCAGCGAGCGACCCGCAATATGGCAACTATGACACCCCTCCTGCAGCAATGACTCTGCGGAAGTCCTGTGGTTGTGTCATCAAGTATGCCAAGAAGTCGCTAGGAGCAGCTCCAGAGCCAGTCACCCCGTCCAAGGTGGAGGTGGTTGAGGACTCGAGAGGAGGGGACTGTCCATGTCAGCGGGTCATGTGTTGGGCAGAGAATTGGATGATGTTGCCATATTGCAGACGTGGGAATGGCATGGAGAATACAGGTGTCCCCATTCACAAGGTGAAGCTCAGTGGGGAAGGCAAGATGCCAGTCATGAACCCAAGTGGGGAGATTGCAATCTATGCCACCATTGACAAGTCCAAGAAGGCTAACAGGTGAGAGACAGATGAAATGTTTATTACTCCTCAATCAAGCAGTTATTAAGTTGATAGTTGCTCAGCTACAACAAGTTTTCTACGTTTTATGGATCCCATAATTGCCATTTCCCTGTTCTCAACACATTCATTAGGACAGACTATATACCATAGAAAGACAAGACAGTTAATTGAGAATGTACTGGAATGTATGAGGTTTGAAGCAATTGTGGCAGGCAGGATAGTGTATCTTCAGGGTAAGATTTGAACTCAGGATCTCCAGAATACAAAGTAGGGATGGTACCCACTTTACTGTGAATTCCAGTAGAAGAGGATGGAAAAGGAGATGTCAGAGAAAGGAAAGGAGCGGAAAATGGAGGATGAGAACTAGGAGATAAGAATGTGGAAGTATGAAATAAAAAAGAGCATAAGAGAAAGAAGAAGAAACAACTGCAAATGATTCAGAAAGAGAAGCAAGAAGGAGGAGGAAAAATACAGTGTATATTTTATGTCATCTTCACATATCTAATGTTCAGTAACCACCTTTCCTTAAAACTATGCTTGGACTTCAAAGACTGCCTCCATCAGGGTTTAAGTGCAACTCAGCCCTCAAAATACAGGTGGTGTGCTCTTCAAAAACCTTGGTACCCACCCGCAAGACTACAACATATTGCAATGGCCAGGAAGACCACAGTATGAATCTTCATCTCAGTGAAAACTTTACATCTTATGGCAAATATGTCATAATCGTACATAACTGTATGCCTTAGAGTCAGTTACAAGAACTGATGTTTCCTGAATGGATGACACACCCAGAGCAGTGCTTCTCTTCCCCTCATCATAAAGGCCCTATTGTTCAGTCGACCAGAAAGAGATAACCAATCAATGTTTTTACTGAGCAGGGGTTGGGTTTTCCATTATGTGTACTGTGAAGGTGTCTGAAGCAGTTTGTAACATATCAGACAAACAGTTACTTTTTCTGTCTTCAGATAAGTTAGAAGAAAAATGAAATCATTGCTTTGCCCAGAATCTGAAGAATGCAACTACATTTGGAACATAGAACTAATGTCCTTAATATGATTAATCTCAAACTACTTTGTCTCAAAACACTGTCAGTTCTCTTTAAAACCCAAATACAGTCTCAAGGACTGATTTATTCTGAACATCAGCCATACGAAGATGACATAAAATGCAGAGTATTGTCATTTTGCATGTAATGCTATGTATTCCAGTTGAAATTTACCTATATTTTGGAGGTTCATATTATTTGCTGCTTACATATTCAGCTTATTCATTCATCTTACTCCCCAGCCTTAAATGGAGACATTGTGTTCCTCCTAAATGTCAGTAAACTGATATCAGATTGTACAGCACATAACATCATAATCACTTCCTGTCCACAAGAACTTAATATTGCATGTGACATAAAGCATTTATTTCATTCATTTCCCCCTCTCCACCTTTTTCTCCTTCTCACCTGCCCTCCTTTATCTTTTGAGTCTATATCTTTGCCATCTGCTTCATTTCCTACTCTTTCCACATCTCCAACATAATCTCTTTCTTCTTCCTCTTCTCATTTTCCTTCATTTCCATCTTCTGCCAATCCTTTTCATGATCCCATTCTTTATTCTCTTCTATTGAACATAGCAGTAGAGTGAGCAGCCCTCGTTCTTGTGTTCAGGCAGTCCTGGGTTTAAATCTTGACCCAAAGAGAGACTGTCATGGCTGAGGTTTGTCATGGTTTTCTGTAGTACCCCAGGCAGTTGTCAGAATGATAGTGCAATGCACGCAGTCACAGGAGCAGGACAAAACACAGAGCACAATACACACATGAATGTAGGAAGAGTGCTCCCATAGAGGAGGATTGGCGTGATTCACGTATTTGAGATACAATGTATGGATGATGAATCCTGAAAGGTTTTAATATTTAGAATTTATTGTTATACATGACGAATACACATTTTAGTCATTTTAGAATGAAGACGTCATGGCATGCAGTGCAGTAGTTTGACGTGCATAGAGACACACCTGAAGATGTCACATTAGTGCTGAAACATGTAGTGTAAAAGTGAAGAAAAAGGTGAAATTAAATAAAAAGTGTGCGCTGTAAGATGGTTAGCATAAATACACATCATGGACATGATATCTCAAGTTAAGTCATGACCACTGCTGGCTGTATCCTTTCCAATTCATTCTCTATTAATTGAGTGTAATTTTATATTACATAATCTGAGCTGCCAAAAGAGTTGAGAAACAAAAAATTAGTAAATAAATAAATTCTTGTTTTTTCATCCTCATGCTTGTTCATCTTAGCCTAATATCATCTTTTGAGTTTTGAGCCCAAGGATGCTATCAGGATTTTCTTCTGGGAAGGCCCTTCCCACCCTTCCTGGAAGGGTGGGCCATCAGAAACTTAGTTTTAAGCCATATTAAGACTGTTTTTACTGACTGAGCATTCAGGATAGAAGAATGATTTTCCTAAAAATATTTAGTTAGTTAAATATTAGTAGTATATGCTATATTTCTTTATTTTCTTCAAGTTTGATTTAATTTTTTAATCCAGTGGGGAAGAGTGCAAATGCCAGGCTTGCCTGGATATTAAAGAAATAAGGTGGGATAATGTGAACTGGATTCATCTGGTTGGGGACAAGGACTAGGGTCAAGCTGCTGTGAACACACCAATGAAATTTGGTTCCATAAAAAGCTGAAAATTCTTCAGTGACTGAGCAACTGTTATTTTCTTAAGAAGGTCCATTCTCAGTGGAGTTAGTTAATTACCTAATGAGTCATGAATAAGAGCTGAGTTATTCGCCATTGCTCTACAAGTTTTTTTTTCCTTACGAAAGAACAAACAGTTCCATTATTGAAGTGTGTTAATTTATTTGCTTACAGTACTAGCATAGGCTGTTGTGAACATGGTGGTGAACCTTTGGGTTCCACTCAAGGCAGGGAATTTCTTGAATAACTGTGCAACCATTATCTTCTCAATAAGGACTCAACTCCATGAAGTGAATTAGATACAAGGATTACACTTTGAGTATATCAGTACTTATTTATAGTTACTTGGGCACACAAAGAATATTTAGGTTTGTAATTCTTAATATGAAATTATTTTGTGTTTCCAGTGATAATTAAATCAGTAGATACCCAGGAACTTCTCAAAGAACACAGTTTGGTCACTATCACTTTCCCTTACTTTCAATGTTTGGGTCATGTCATTGTAGGCGTGACTGCTCCTGTCCACCACAGCAGCCTCATCAGGATGACTGTCCTCAGCAGCAGATGGCCACTGATTCACAAACAGATGGATCCAACTATGTCAACGTGGAAGCTAGCGGAAATGTTGTGGCGCCTATAACTGAGGCACCGCAGATCTGTGATGCTGCTGCTTGTGGTCTCGACTATGAAAATATTGATTTTGCTCAGTCACTTGAATATTATGAGAACTCCAAAGACTTTTTGCAGAGAGTTGGTATAGACAAAGAAGCTACGGAGAGCAGTGAGCCACCCATACCAGAAGTACTTGAGGCAGAAGAGGCTGTGTCATACACAGTCACCAATGGAGTGACAATCTGTAATAAGTGTGGCCATGCCTGTCACCTCTACTCACCCCAGCAAATTCCACAACAGCCCCTACCAGAAGGCAATGAAGTGGATGCTGGAGGGCAGCCAGCTGCATTAGTGCAAAGTGCTGAAGCTAGCACCTGTAAGCAGGATGACTACCTGATGATGGAACCAGCTAAGAATTCAAACACCTGCTCTGAAGCTGCCAGGGTTCATGGAAAAAACTTTCCAGGCTACTTGCCCATGTCTCCCATCACAAATGCCACCTGTAGCAAAGCAGATATGCTAAAACTCAGGATGGATAGGGCAGGTCTTCCCTCCGAGAAGTCGGCCAGTATCCCCAGCCTTTATACCTCAGTTGGTTCAGCAATGGATAGGAGTCGAAAACGGTCAGATTCTGAGTTCCCTAGAGTTCCAGGATCTGCCATGATGATGATGCATCACTCTGCCAACAGCCCGTATATGAGGCGACTCTTACATGAGCCTGGAGACGAGAGTCACAGACTACACATTGCCAGCAGACGCAGGTCAAGTTCTGCTGACTCCTCTAGGTACCTGGATGATCTTGAAGATCTAGATCATTCTATAGTTATAGAAAGGGATATTGCCTCATTACACACAAAGCTTGGTGACCCAGTTTATGTCCAGAAGCCTCTGGTCCCACTGCCTAATGAAAGTCTTGGTGAGAAAGATATATTTGAAGTGCCACCTAGGCATGAAGAAACTCCCAGTGTTGAAACTGTTGTGCCAGGTTCCAGTGTTGAAACTGTTGTGGCTGGTTCAGCTGTGGTGATGCCAGAAGTTGAGGATACTGTAGGAGATGACATAGCAAGTACAAGCAGTGGAAGTGGTTCCTTGAGGACGTTAGTCAGAGAGTGTCTGGCAGACACACCTCAGCCTCCAGTGACTGGATCTTCAGTATCGGCAGCTGTACATATCCGACGCTCATCTAGTGTCCCCTGCAAGTCGGGAAACAATCGGGACTCATCAAGTTCCAATGATTCAGGTGTGTCAACTGGTTCGCTCAAGCACAGAGGTGCAGACTTTGCTGAGTTTGAGTTGCCATTGACAACATCCATGTCCACCAGGAGGCACCACCATGCCGTGCAGGCACGGAATCATGCTGGTATGCCCCACACCAACTGTCTACATGCCTCCCTACCCCGACGTTCTAAGTCCGTGGATCCTCTCCGGGAAATCACCTTCCAGTTTCAGAAGGTTAAGATCCCAGCCAAATCATCATCAGCTGAGGCAGAAGTACCCATTTGTCCAGGGAAGAGGGACAGTTCTAAAGGTTAGTGAAGTTGTAATTTTTTCGTACAAGTTTCACAGCATGAGTATGTGCAACGTATTTGAGGTTGACATGATGGTGAGAGCCCTGGAAAAGGAAAACTGCATTGAACACACACACACACACATACTTTAAATGATTTCAATTCAGCCTGGTTAATGACTTGAGGCTAGTTATATTTCTGACAAGTGCAATTTATATTGTGTGTGTGTGTGTGTGTGTGTGTATGCATTCGTTTCATCATTCTACAACTGTTCTGTACTCACCTGTAAGTGCTCCCTGGTCTGTGTGACAGCTCTGACCATGCAGTGCATCATCACATACTTTTTCCTTTAAGTTGAGGCTTCATTGCAGAGCTGGAACATAACAGGTAACAGAGGAAGGAAAGTTAAGTTTGTTTGTATAGACATGTGCAAGTGCACACGCATGCATGAGAGACAGAAAGAATGAAGGCCGAAACCAAACCAATCAAGCAAGACTGTATGGAGCATCTCTGCACTGTCCCAAACATTCCTCCATCAGTTAAGTACATAAGGAAATATGAGTCCAAGTACTCCAATAGAATGAAATGAGATACCTCCTTGGAACTTCTCCAAGCAAGGAAAACATGACTGGGACTCTCTCCTCTCTCTCTTTCACAGTCTTTCTGGAACTTTTAAAGCATGTGCTGAAATGGCCAAAAACTGACTAAATTTTATGTTCCACTGCTTATTCAATGCAGACACCAGCCTGGACATTTTGTCTTTTCTTGACTGATCATTCTGTTTCCAACCTAAAAGATCGCACAGTCTTGAAAAATGGTTACTTTTCACGGTTCCTTCTTGACAGAAATCTGCCTTCGTTTAAATGTTACTGGCCGCCTCTGTGGTCTAGTGGTCAGAGTTCTTGACTACAGAGGTCCCGGGTTCGATTCCCTGTGCTACCAGATGTTCCAAGAACTCAGCCTTCTGAGGATAATTGAAAAGCTATTTCAAGGAAATAGCGACTCCGGTCTAGAAAACCAAGATTAACGGCTATGGCAATCTGTTGCGCTGATCACGCTACACTCTGTATCCACAAAAGTTGGCGCTAACTTTGCAGGCAAGCAGCGGCCACTCGGCCGGTATATTTCACTTGTGGACTAAAAGCCACGGAGTTTTTAAATGTTACTTTTATATTTATGTAATAGCCTGTAGCATTAGACGTAGTTATAAAAGGCTTCAGTTCATTTTGTTGTATGACTGCGTCTGGAATGAAAATATGATTTGAGTAAGATGTATTTATGCAGGGTTTTCAAGTCCTGGAGCTGATGGAGCAATTGTTGTCCCATACATGGACTCTCGCAGTACCAGCAGTGGGACATCTGACATGTCAGATTACATTGAGACCTTATCCCTGTCATCACACAGCTCGTCTGACACCCCAGACAGTCTCAGGTGGGTGCAGCACTGCTCATGAATGTTTTCTTGATACATTGATTAATGATGTAGTTAGTGTCAAATGGATGACCATGCCATAGCTTAAGCGGTTAGTCGCTGGCTTCTCACCAAGGCGGCCCGGGTTCGATCCCGGGTCTGGTCAAGTGGAATTTGTGGTGGACAAAGTGGCGCCTGGGCAGGTTTTCTCCAAGTACTTTGGTTTCCCCTACCAATCTTCATTCCACAGTCACCCTCACCTATCATCTGGGGCTGGTACAATAGGCCAGAAGTGGCCGCAGTACAAGGGACTTAGTCCCACACCACTAGGAATAAAATTATAGTGTTAAATGAGATGGTGAAGGTGACACTGTCCTTGTATTTAAAGCACTAAACCATGAAGATTTATGTGGGAGTAGAGAAACGGCTGCACACATATTAACTTTACTGTTAGCTTCATGCCCTAGTTCCTTTACACCCAGGGAAAGAGTCCCAATTAACTAGTGGATAGGTGAGGCCCAGAGCTTGTCTGGCCACTGTGGAGAAGAGAAAAATCTCTGGCCTCTGCTAGAAATTGAATCTAAATTCTTTGGTTGTCCAGCATATAAAAAAGCAACTCTCCTGACTGACCTATCCTAGCTTCTTGTCATATGAGATGAAAGGAAGATTAACTTGAATGGATATGGAATATTACAAAAATTGGAAATATTAATATTGTTTCCCATAAGTTGGTCACCTGCATAAGTCTGCCACACTTGAGCCACAGGCAGCAAACATACACAGGTTTTACTGCATATAACCTGTTCAGTTACAACAGTTCTCTTAATTAAATTATCAAAAAATTAATCTTTGGAGTTCCCCCCCCCCTCTATCCAGGAAAATCCTAAAATAATACTTTGAATTAGACCATGGCTGTTCTCTTCACATTGTTTCCAATCATTAACCATTAATTATTCTGTCATTCTTTTACATTCTGAGTTAAATAAATAAGGAAATCTCAGAGTTATTGGGGTTTTAAACTTTTCTATGCTACCTTTGCACGGTCAAAATACCGTGGCCCTTCAACAATCTCAGTGGGCAGGCCATACTTCAAATCAACACAACAAGAAGAGATGTTTTTGTTAAACAGGCGGACATTAAAGCTTGTCCATCTTTCTAAAAACTAGAGAACACAATGTTTCATAAACTGAATCTGTTTTTTCTAAGGGATTCAACAGAGTAGATGTGGCTCCCCTCACCTGAGGATGGAAACAGATCCAGTTTCCAAAATGTTATGTTTTCTGGTTTTTAGAATACTGGATGATCGACAAAGTCTAAAAATCAGTAATTCCAATTGTTTTTACACCATCAGTAGAACTGTATAGAAATAAATAAAATAAATATGATAAATATTTGGTGATGTCTGTTTATCAGTAGGTTAGGGCGCCCAGCCACAACGACCTTGAGGCCACGGTCAGGGAAGGAGTACCAGCTTATTGATCGTTCCATCCTGGAAGGGGACATGAAGGTAAACTAGTACGTAAGTTGCGTGCTTGTATAATCACACTGTTGCTGTGGTAGCATTTTCTTTGAACAATGTTTATCGTCTGGATAAGGAAGATAAGTGGAAAGCTGATGGCTCATCATGTCTTCAAATTCAAAGGGGACTATGTACTCTGTGGGAACCATGTGATAAAGTGAGTCCTTTTCAGTAGGCCTTGCCTACAGTGTTAACCCTTTAAAACAACATGCCTGAACTAGGGAAACACATCCCATTTGTGGTGTTTGATAGGTATCTAGGTGAGATGTGAAATCCTGAAAATAACAGTTAATTCAGTCACAAAAAAAATAGTTACAGAACTTTCTTGCATTTCAGCAAACTTTTCCTTTCTTCTGTGGAATAATTTCCTGAAAATGCCCAAGTGAGGTTATTCAAGACTCATTTCAACAGAACTGTATTGTTTCTGTATAATGAAAGATGTTAACAAAAATTATTACAATTATATTGTTAAGATCTTCCTGTTATGATTAATGTAATACTGAAATATACATAAATATGAAAGTACACTTCATATGACTAGAGCTATTTAAAAAATTACCAATGTGACATAAGACACAGAAGATCGAGAATTACTTCCTTCAAGTATAGCTGGTAACTATATGTACCATCTTCTTTAACACTGAAAACTCTACGTTCTGCATTCACAGTTTATTTATATGGTTTCTGTGATCGTTAGGATGAACAGTGATTACTTCCCTAAACAGCATTAACTGGTTTGTTTTTACAATGGAGACACAGTCTGTTTTCTGTGTGGTAGGAACTGAATTTTTAAATATTATTTTGATGAATTTTCAGTTTTAAAGTGTTACTGGGCATGCAGGGTTGGCACTCTTTCCTTCTACCTGAGGCTCAAAGCAGGGTCAGCCTTTTAAATATTATATATCTTAATTTGTCACTGAACTTTGATGAATTTCAATTTGACAGTGTAGAAATAAAGCAGTCAGTTATACTATTATATATACATATTAATCCTCTAGTGCAGGCATGTCCAACTTCAAACAGGTTGTGATTGACTTTTTAGTGTCAAAACTGCCAGTGATCCAGCACCCCCTCCTATCATCATACCATGCTTTAAACAGAAATATTGGTAAAAGTAACATGACACATGATGTTTGTTGTATAAGCAACAAGTAACTGGGCTGTCTCTGATGTCTGAGATTCATCCAGTTGGAGGGAGAAAGCGACACAATTGGAAACATCTTTCAACAACTGTTCAGTTATGTTTCCACACATCATTTCTAGTGAATCACACATTCTGTCAATCACTCTTGCATCAGAACACATGCGGTGAACAATGATTGATGAAATAAGGGTTCACGTGATAAGGATAGAGTAGGGATTTCCCCACAGTTCACTTAACACAAGTGTAAAGCAATTTTCATATAAGCTACATAAGAACAGAAAAATAGGAATGACTAACACATATTTTCCCTTCAAAATCTGAATATAATCACATTATATTACAAGTGAATTTACATGCCTTTCATGTATAATTTCCTTATAGGCCTATGAGATCGACCAAAAATCGTCCCGCGATCGACTGGTTGATCGCAATCGATGTGTTGGACATGCCTGCTCTAGGATACTGATTTCAAATAAATTTATGAATGTAAATTTTAGAAAATGTATGTGTTCACAGATATTTTTGGGTAGGTTAATGATATCACTGGAACGTTTGCTGTTCATAGGAGGATGGAGGAAATAATTGGAATATGCAGCTTGTTACCTGCTGTGACTCTCTTAACCGTTCATCAGTTCTTATCCAGACCATGTTGAAAGAAAATACTACCATGTTTTCATAAACCATCAGAATCACATTCTCTAATGTTGTTGGCAGTAACTTCACATGAAACTTTAACTGTGAAAGAAAAATATATAATCATATCTTCAGACTTCATCTTTGTAGCGGCATTATTCTGTGAAGCAGCTAGGGCCCCATAAGTAAGGGTAGATATGCATAGATACCACCTACATAGCTCCAAGAGTGCATCATTTTAAGAAAACTATTTCTAGTGCCTTAAGATATCATAATTATTGTACTGAATGATGATACGTGTAAGAAAGAAGTCCCTAGCCTACATTGTGATAATTTCCTTTTAACATGTGCTGGTCATTCCCACAGGATTTTCTGCCAAACTGTTAGTCTACCTAGCTTTAAAGAAATCATTCCCACTGCTAGACCCCTAGAAGCAACTATAATTCAAACAGTAGCTCCAGTAACACAATTTTTTGATACAGGTCCCAATGGGTAGTGAAAAGGCTCCACACCAGTTGAGAGGTCTCGTCTCTCAGTATGCCAACATCACGCCTGTGCCAGAGAAATCGGAGTCTCCGTCCCCTGGTTACATGAGCAGTTCTCCAGGCCAAGAGAGAGAACATCAGCCTCTCATTCCACATCCATACATATGAGTCGTAGTAGGGAGGAACTCAGATCAACAGCCTGGTGACGTAACTTGCTGAGAGAGTGAGTCGTGGTGTGTCATTTGTGGATGGTATCTAACTGCCATAGTTTCCTGTATTGTTCTCTTCTCTTAGACGAAAGCTGGGTCCTGAATTCTTTTGCTCGGTCACCACTTTCTGTTGTAATCAGTCATGTTACCTGCGGGTTGTTGGTCTGAGCTAGCTTTCTGCAATACTGTAGCAGTAAGCATTCTTACAGACTGAGAATGGTACATATTTAGTCTATAGTGTATTCTAGTTCAGGAATTACATTGAACAGTGACAGCAGTAATGATCATGTATTGAATATTGTACTTCATAATAGACTTAGCAGTGTGATTTTCAATTTTTTTTTTTTTTTGTAAATGAGCACAAACCACAAAGACAGCTTATTGGCTGTTTGTAACAATTAGCCTAAGGTACCGTTTTTTTTTCAAGTTAGAGAAATGGAAAATAAGAGAAAAAAAAAAGAATGTTATGCTCACTCGGTATCAACAAGGTATTTCAAAATATCCTGTCTCTGAGCTTAAGAACGTTGTCTTCATGTTCACTCTGACCCCTTATATTTACTCCCTTCACCCTAACATGTGCATACTATTTTGATAAACCGCTCCAGATGTAAGTAGCAAGCAGTTTGTATGTAATTACCTATTGTACCTTCTTGTAAATGAGCTGTAAGGATTGGCTTTTGATTTCACCCACTTGGGGTTCCATATGGGGAACTTTTTCTACTCTAATAACCCCTGACTGATGTTTTCCTGTTGGGACTAGTATTTTATGAATCTAATGAGTAGTACTGTATTTTCTACTACCAGAACTTAATGATGGAAGAACTTTAGTATGTATGAGTGTATGATAGGTTTGTATAATCTTGTGTCGTGCTAGTCATGTGTTTGGTTGATGTTAGCTTTTTTGGTAGGAATAGAAAAAGTTTGTATTTGTGTCTATTCATATAATAACGATAACTAATAATACCAATAGCATTCATGTTTTTAAATAACAGGTAATAAGCTTATTTAAAAAGCATGATAAAGGTTCTAAAAATATAGTCCTGTAAATCAGGTAGTTATCCCTACATGTTTTCATAGTTCCTCAACAATTTATGGGATATCTGACTGAAACATTAATACACACAGCAACGAAGATAAGAACTCCAGGACACCTTGTGCCGAAGTACGCTGCCCCCAACCCCAACGGACATGTGAAACCCCAGCTATAACCCAGTGTCTGACCCCCAGAGGCACACTGGAACCTGCTAATCAGCCGAAGTTCTTTAATAAGTCATTAAATTTAGCCTTTTCCATGTTTTTCATGACCCATTTGTTTTGTGACACATATCCGTACAACACTAAACATCAGCGTGAGAGCGGGGCTGGTTACATGTGTGAGAAAAAAAACAACACTGAAATAATTAATTATAAGGTTATTATCTAGTCAAATAATTTAATTGTTTTAATAGAAGTTCACTGATTAATAATTGAAATGAAGGTAAAGTCCCTGTGCTTAATTAGTTAAGTGTTATGTCATGAATATATATGGGGTAGTGGAGATATAGCTCCACCTTTCTTGACCTCAGCACTAGATGGAGGGAGTGGTCAGTTTCATACACCTGCCACTTTACCCCTGGTGAAAGAGCAGCTGGTACCCACTGGATAGGAGGCTGGGTGGGTCCCAGAGTTAGTCCAGACACTAAGGAGAAGAGAAAAGTCTTGCATTGCCAGGAATTGAATTCAGGCTGTCCAGCCCGTAGCCTGTTGCTATACTGACTGAGCTATCTCAACTTCTAATTGAAACAGTAATTAGGAAATTTTGAATGCAATTAATTCTGTAAATTATATTATTTCAGAGGTCTTATGCATTTAAGAGTGTGTGTTAATGGAAAATGACAGGAAATATTTTGAACAAAATACATGAAATTCCTTGTAGGAGAGAGCTTGATATGAAACCATAGCTAGGTCTGTATTTGTGAGATTTCATGTTCTCATGGTGATGATTGTGAAGATCTTCTGGGTTGTGTTACCATATAGTTTGATGGATAAGTACCAATGTTTTGGAGAAACCTGCCACCTCTGGCTATCTTGAGGATGGAGATGGCAGATTTCTTTGAAACAGTGATACCTGCCTACCAAATTACGCAGTGTTACTTCCAAGAAGGAGGCACTTCCTGCAAGATTTGAAGTATGGTCATCTTTGACAGTTGTACTTTCATCTTTGACAGTTGTACTTTCATAAATTTTCCAGGACTTGAAAGTAAGCAGTCTGAATTATATTTAATGATGGCATGAGTACCATGTACTGTATGGCCTGAAATAGTAGGACTAATTGGAAGGGATGTGGAAGGAACCAGTCATGGACTAATTTGTTGGCAGGACTTAGCAAAACTATGAAAAGCCTGTGTAGAATTTGAAGTTCTCACAACAGTGGTTATGAAATGTACTCTCTCTTGGGATATAACGTCATATAGTCCATTGAAAGTCAACCAGCATTTTGGAGAAACATCATTTCCATCTTCAGGGTTGAAGATAAAGCTGAGCAAGAAACCAGCATGAAAGCAGGTGGTAAGCATCAGTTGACTTTCAACAGACTACACATCATTATATCCCATAAGATAATATTCTGCATGAAATAACTGTTAGGATAACAGTATACCAGACAAAATTTGAATTGATACCTTCTGAATACAAATCAGAAGCATTACTGCCTGAACAACTTGCTCAGTGACTTCTTTATCTGGAGATTGAACTTCATAATGAGTAAACTCCTTTGATATTATAATAGCATAGTAACTGAGTATGGTTTTGAGCATTGATTTTGTTGTTCACAATTTTTTCTCTGCCTCTTGAGACTTGAGATTTTAGCATTTTCAGCTTATGGCTCAACACCAGTCGCAATCCCTCCCAAGATTAAAGTCTTCCAGCACTCTTTCTGAAAGGTCTGCGCACATTTCTTCATTATTATTTGCAACTGTTATTTTTTATTACAGTTTGGGTGCAGACTTTCTTCTTGTTCAGATCATTGGTCAAAATATCTCCTTTTCTCTTCATGTCTAGTTTTGTGATACCTTCCAGAACTCACTCAGCAATCATTTCTTGCCGTTTCAGTTGCATTTTCCACATTACAACCAGCTATTGATCTGTCAGGCAGATTATTTATAGTCTATAATGTCAACCATTCTGTCTAGAAATTTCTTACCCCTTTCTGAAACTCGAGTTCCATCCACATGATCCAGCATGCACCAACTCAGTGTTGCATGTTGCCAGTTCCAACAAAGAATATTCAGTCCTGTTATTTAATGCCATATTGTGTATATTTCCTCTCTGCAGTATATCAGATTTGTACATAACATCTAAAGTAGGAATGAAAATGAAATAAGTTTTATTCTGACATACTCTTCTACAAAAAGTTATTTGAGAGAGAAACAAACAAGGAAAGTTACTTTCTTTGCTTTTCTGTTCCAGTTATAATGAGAAAATTAAGTAAAATCGTATTACATGTGCATGAATATTGTAGATAACAGGGCTAGGAAGTTTTTCATAGAGCTAAAGAGGAATTCATGTTGGCAGCAAACAGTACTGTCTTGTCTAGATGTTTTTGATAGTTGACACCTTCAGGGTTAAGAAACTTGTATTTTAAACATAGAATTTTGTTTTATATCCTGTGGTGGAATTTTACATATGTTTCAATAACTGGGGATTTTACTGCATCATGGTTAGTTTAAACTTAGTTTCAGTATGTTTTCTATCTGAATTTCATTGTCCTGTATAAATCATGCTGATAGGTCAAAGGTTATAATGAATGATAATGCCACAATTGTGATATGATTAAGTTTTAATCACCTGATACAGTGCATCATATATAACTGATTTCTCAGCAGACACATTTAAGGTATTTTGCTCACAAATTAGAAAAGCAAAAAGTATTTATTTTCATGCCACTTTTGGAAGATGGTTATCCATGAACCCTAGTTATATTCTTATAATTGCCAACATTTGGATGTCTGCTCACTATTTTGTCTTTACACTTAAACAATGTAGTTTGTGTCTTTTGTATCAGAGGCGCTTATTTGGGGATAGTATATTTTAGTATCAAGTTGTGGTACTGCCTCTATTGTAGACTTAACTATATTGGTCTGTTGGACATGAGTCAGTACTCCAAACAAGTTTATGCAAGTCACATAAACTATGAGGTACTTCCTGGCTACATATTTCAACCTTGGTCATCTTCAGGGCTCACATATACAGTAGAACTTGGTTATAACGTCATCAAAGGGACCTAAAAATAGTGTCGTTATAAACGAATGTCGTTGTAACCGAAATGGGCACTTCCACAGTAGCCTTATGTTAGTCACGTAAAAATCTACCAAAAACCGAGTTAAAATGTTGCATTTTTTAATGAAATACGTAGTTAAGTACAGACTAACGTAACATTTACGTGGAATTGCCCAAATGTGTAATATCAAAGACATATTACAGCGCTTTTCACTGACAATACACACAATATTTCACGAATCACTTTAACTTTCTCTTCAATGCTTAAAACTTTCCTTTTCATTGCCATGTTTTCGCTACTGCACTTCTCTGGGTTTAGGCAGGAACACTATAGGGTAAGTAGACAATGTGAG